ACCACCACCACCACCACCACTACAGGATTTAGAAGGACCTGGCCCTGTCACCTGATTTCAGATTTCACGTCTCCAGAACTTTAAGACAATACATTTCTGTTCCTATTTTTTAAAAAAAAGACGTAAAAGTATTCTAATAGTCTGTTTTCCACTGAGAAGTTTATTTCAACTTGATTACTTACTCATGTTCAGCCACATCAGGGAGATAAGCAGCATTCTCTTGGGATGGATGGGCCATAAAAACAACATCAAGGTTTTTAAAAGCCCCTGCTTCAATTAAGTCAATTTTGCCACCACCTTCTTCTTCTGCAGGGGTTCCCAGGACAGTTACCTAGAAGGAAATGCCTGTGTCAGGACACAGTAACAAAAAATCCTCGTAGGAAAATATCAAACAAGCCCTCTTGCATAGAGATTGTATTCACAATCTATACGTCTTTTAGTATATGGACATAATAATTCATAAGCACTTTTTCCAGTTATTTATTAGTTCTTCTCACAACAACCCTGAGTGGTGGGTGAGTGATCTGTAACATCATTTTAGAGAAGGGGGTTTGGAGGTATAGGGTGAAGTGTCTTGCCCCACATCACAGAGCAAGTCTTCAGGAAGAGCTGGGATGAGATGTTCAGGCCTGTTCCTTATTGAGCTACCTCATTAAAAGATCTTAATTCCTTAATCATACATGAAGAACATTAAATAAATCTTAAGACCGTGGTTAGGAATGGCCAACTATTACACAAACTTACTAATTCTATTCTACCAGTTCAACCAGGCAGATTTATTGGTCACCAAACACCTAATTAAACAAAAGAGAACTTTGCAGAATAAACATTTTATTTTGATATCTCAGTTTAACTTCTTCAAACAATTCTTAAAGCAAAGAAAAATTATCTATAAGCAGCCAATATACTTTCAAGATCACGTATAAGGACACAAAGAACAAGTTGGGAAAAGTCTTGGCTTGCAAAGGGAATCCAATGAAAATAAATTTCATTTTCAGGGAGGACAGATAACCTGGCTAAAAACTCAGCTAACCATTCAAAATCAGAACTGTGTACATCTCCCAACGTCTGGTTTTCTTTAGAAGTTATAAGGCACCCAAACTCTTAAATTAAGCTGCTTTAAACTCTTAACCCTTGACAAGTTAAATGTGATGACTTCAAAGTTGTTGACTTCTATGAACTTATCACAAACCCAGTTAAAGCTAAATCTCTCCAGTGTTTCATGTAATGGCAAAGGATACCCCATCCCAAACAAAACAAAAGCCTAACCAGATGCCAAAACAAGCCCCCAGAGCAGAAAAACAAAGGCAGCTAAACAGAAAAAGTCACAAAAGATGTAACTGTTAGGATAAAAGTAAAAGGTTACTGACATTGGGGGGGGGGGAGGCTAAAGAATAAAATAAAACATTAGTCTTCCCCTTAACCTGAATGGCAATGATTGCATCTTAGCTCACAGAATGAATATACCATCTGGAAAAACAGAGTAACACAAGATTAAACTTGCCCTACGACATTTCCCCGTTTATAGAACTGAGGTATTTATTAAAAACATGAAATAAACATTAGGACTCAAAGATCAACTACATCTATGTAGTTGTGTGTGTGTATATTTCTAGAGGTTTGGTAGTTGTAACGACTGATAATATCCTACCCAAAAACTAATGATTCAAGCCCTGTGGGCCCAGCAGGTATGGCTCAGTGGTTGAGCGTGAACCTATGAACCAGGAGGTCACAGTTGATTCCAGGTCAGGGCACATGCCCGGGTTGCCTGAGTTGCCCACTCATCCCCAATGTGGGGCGTGCAGGAGGCAGCCAATCAATGATTCTCTCTCATCATTGATGTTTCTCTCTCTTCCTCTCTGAAACCAATAAAAAATATGTTTAAAAAACAAACAAAAACCCCCCAATGATTCAAATTACAACAACTCCTATGACTACCACAAACAAAAGATTTGGGGGGAGCCTAATGAAGGGGCTGTAGGTTTCCCTACAATAACCACTTCCAAGAGACTGCACAACCTTGTCAGCAAATTGCAGCGGCTACAGTTACCAAAAATAAGCCTTGACGAAAACCAGGCTTGGTTCTAAGTTCTTTCGTAAGGGAGAATCCACTCAATTCTTTCCAAGTACATAAGAGGCAACAAAACCCAATACTGTACTGGGCAACTCATTAAGCTTTACCCAGGGTCTCTGCCTTCTCACGAAGGCCAGGCTGGGACGTCTAGTGGCGTTCCTGCACCTGCCCGGGGTGGGAGGACTGGTGCGCATGGAATGCCCGTCCTGCCGTTCCGGCTCGGCACCGGCGGGGCAGGTGGCG